ATTTCTCGATTTATCAAAACTTCGTTGTTTCGATTCATCGACTTATTAACTTTTTTATTTTAAATTTTTCGATTTTGGATTATTTCCCTTCCTTAATTTTTCAATTTTTCGGCTTTTTGATTTTTCTATTTCTCAATTTCTCAATCTTTTGTTGTTTCGTTTATCGCTGTTTCACTTTTTCATTCTTTCGATGTTTCCATTTTTCAATTTCTCGATTTTTCAATTTTTTTATTTTTCGATTTTCCAATTTTCCATGTTCCGATTTTTCAATTTTTCGATTTCTCAATGTTTCGTCGTTTCAGTTTCGGAATGTTTCAATTTGTGGATTTCTCGATTAATTTTAGACTTTTTACTTTTTTGATTTTTAAATTTTAGGTTTTTGAATTTTCCAATTTTTCGATCTTTTGATGTTGCGATTTCTCGATTTTTTAGTTTTTCGATTCTTCAATTTTTCTTCGAATTTTCAATTTTTCGATATTTTGGTTTTGGCATATTTCAATATTTCGATTTTTCAATTTTTTGGCTTTTCGACTTTTCGATTTCTCAATTTCTCAATTTTTTGTTTCGTTTATCGATGTTTCAGTTTTTCAATTTTGCGATATTTCCATTTTTCGATTTCTCGGTTTTTTTATTTATTTGATTTTTCGATTTTTGACTTTTCGGCTTTTCAGTTTTTCAATTCTTAAATTTTAGATTTCAGTTTTTTAATTTTTAGATTTTTTGTTACTTCGATTTCTCGATTTTTCAATTTTTCGATAGTTTTAAATTTTAGATTTTTCGATTTCTCACTTTTTTGGTTTGATTTATCTATTTTTCAACTTTTCAAATTTAAATTTTTCGATTTTTCAATTTTTCCATTTTAAGATTTTTCGATTCGATTTCTTAACATCTCAGTTTTTCGATTTATCAAATTTTTCGACTTTTCAATTTTTAGATTTCTTCATTTGTCAAGTTTTCGTGTTCTCTGTTTTTCAAAATTTCAATTTTGGGAATTTTTCAATTTCTGGATTTTTTAATTTTTGGATATTTTAATTTTTCGATTTTTTGATGTTTCGATTGCTCGATATTTCGATTTTTCGTCATTCAGTATGGGATTTTTTTTTATTTCGGGAATTTTCGATTTTTCTTTTTGGATTTTCGATTTTCAGTTTCTTGATTCTTCAATTTTTCGATGTTTTAATTTGTCAATGTTGTAAATTTTAGATTTTCGGGTTTCTCGATTCCTCGATTTTTCGATTTCTCGATTTCTCGATTTCTCGATTTTTCGATTTCTCAATGTTTTGTTATTGCAGTTTTGAGATGTTTCAATTTCTGGATTTTTCGATTAATTTTAGATTTTTGAATTTTCGGCTTTTCAATTTTTCAGTTTTTAAATTTTAGATTTAAATTTTTTATTTTTCAATTTTTTGTTACTTCGATTCCTCGATTTTTCAATTTTTCGATATGTAGTTTAATTTTTAAATGTTTTAAATTTTCGATTTTTCTATTTCTTAATTTCTCAATTTTTTTATTTGTCGATATTCCTATTTTTCAGTTTTTCGAATTTTCAAATTTTTGATTTTTTAGTTTGATTTTTCTTTTTTTCAATTATTGAAATTGAAATTTTTCGATTTTTCAATTTTTCCATTTTGAGATTTTTCGATTCGATTTCTTGACATTTCAGTTTTTCAACTCATCAAATTTTTCGGCTTTTCAATGTTTAGATTTCTTGATTTTTCAAGTTTTGGGTTTCTCTATTTTTCAACATTTCAATTTTGGGAATTTTTCAATTTCTGGATTTTTTAATTTTTGAATATTTTAATTTTTCAATTTTTTGATGTTTCGATTGCTCGATATTTCGATTATTCATCATTCAGTTTGGGATTTTTTTAATTTCTTGAATTTTTGAATTTTCTTTTTGGTTTTTCGATTTTCAGTTTATAGATTCTTCAATTTTTTTATGTTTTAATTTGTCAATGTTGTAAATTTTCGATTTTTTGATTTCTCGATTTCTCGATTTCTCAATTTCTCGATTTCTCGATTTCTCGATTTTTCGATTTCGCAATTTCTCGATTTTTCAGTTTCTCAATAGTTCTATATATTTTTTAATTTTTCAAATATTTAAATTTTAGATTTTTCAACTTTTTGGATTTTTCGATTTCTTGATTTTTTGATTCTTCGATTTTTCAGTTTTTCAGGTTTTAAATTTCTCGATTTTTCAGATTGGCGATTTCCAATTTTTTGGTTAATCAGTTTTTGTAATTTTAAATTTTTCATTTTTAATTTCAGATTTTTCATTTTTAATTTATCGATTCTTCTTTTTCGCTTTACGATTTTTAAATTTTACATTTTTAATTTTTCGATTTTTTATTTTTTCAATGTTTTAAATTTTAGTTTTTTCGATTTTTCAATTTTTCGATTTTTCTCAATTTCTCGATTTCTCGATTTCCCGATTTCAGGTATCTGGATTTTTTAGTTCAGTTGTACATATTTTTCAATTTTTAAAATTTTTTACATTTTAGGTTTTTCAACTTTTTGCTGTTTAGATTCTTTGATTTTTCGATTTTTCGACTTCTCGGTTTTTGATTTTTGTGTTTATCAATTTTTCGATTTTTTAAATTTTTAATTATTCGATTCTTCAATTTTTCAGTTTCTTAATTTTTCATTTTTCATTTTTAATTTTTCGATTTTTTTAGCTTTTCGATTTTGAAATTATTGATTTTTCAATTTTCCTATTTTTTGATGTTTAGACTTCTCGATTTTTCAATTTTTTGATTCTTCAGTTTTTAGATATTTTCATTTCTTAATGATTTAAATTTTAGATTTTTCGAATACTCGATTTATCGATTTCTCAATTTCTCGATTTTTCGATTTCGCGATTACTCGATTTTTCGATTTCGCGATTTCTCGATTTTTCGGTTCCTCAATAGTTCTACATATTTTTTAGTTTTTCGATTTTTCAGTTTTTCGATTTTCAGATTTTTGGTTTATCAATTTTTTTTTATTTAAAATTTTTTATTTTCAATTTTTCGATTTTTCAATTTTTAGATTCTTCAGGTTTTCGATATTTTAATTTTTCAATGATTTAAATTTTAGATTTTTCCATTTCTCGATATCTCGATTTTTCAATTTCTCGGTTTCTGAATTTTTCGATTTCCGATATCTCGATTTTTCAATTGTACATATGTATTTTCCAATTTTTCAAAATTATTACATTTTAGATTTTTCAAATTTTTGCTGTTTCGATTCCTTGATTTATCAATTTTTTGATTTTTTTTAATTTAAATTTTTCACTTTTAATTTTTCGATTTTTCTTTTTGGCTTTACGATTTTTAAATTATTGATTTCTCAATTTCTCGATTTTCTCATTTCGCGATTTCCCGAGTTTGCGATTTCTCGATTTTTCAGTTCCTCAATAGTTTTACATATTGTTCAATTATCCAAATGTTTGAATTTTAGATTTTTCAAGTTTTTCATGTCTCGATTCCTTGATCTTTCGATTCTTCGACTTCTCGGTTTTAGATTTTTCGGTTTATCAATTCTTCGATTTTTTAAATTTTTGATTTTTCAATTTTTCCGTTTTCAAATTTTCTATTTTTCAGTTTTTCGATTGTTCAATTTCTTGATTTTTCGATGTTTAAATTTTCAATTTTTTGGTTTATCAATTTTTTTTAATTTTAAATTTTTTATTTTTAATTTTTCGGCTTCTCGACCTTTCAATTTTTCAATTTTTCAATGTCCCGATTTTTCAATTTTTCGATTTTTAAAATTTTTTATTTTTCGATTTTTAAATTTCAGATTTTTCAGTTTTTCCAATATTTGACAATTCGATTTCTCAATTTTTTTTCGTTTATCGATGTTTCAGTTTTTCAATTTTCGATATTTCCATTTTTCGATTTCTCGGTTTTTCTATTTATTTGATTTTTCGATTTTTGACTTTTCGGCTTTTCAATTTTTTAATTCTTAAATATTAGATTTCAATTTTTTAATTTTTCAATTTTTCAAATTTCAGATTTTTCGATTTCTCGATTAGTTTTTCAATTTTTTGATTTTAAAAATTTCTTGATTTCTCAATTCTGTTTCAATTTGTCGACTGATCAGTTAATTCCTTGACATTTCGGTGTTTCATTTTTTCGATTTTTCAGTAAGCATTTTCCCGGTGGTTTTCTTAACAATTTCATTTTTAGAAATGTCTGATACTTTTGTCTACGTTAACACTAATAACTTCAAAACATTTGTGATATATTTAGAATCACAATAACAGACTATCTCTAAAAATACAATAGGATGTTTTTCGCGTGTCGCAAATTACTGATATTTTTGACACATCAATAGTACTAGTATGTTTACACAAAACTTTTCAAATGTAAAAGGATTTCCAATTAATGATAAATATTTAGCACATCTTTAACGTTTTCGAAAAAATCTTTGATACCTACTTCAAAGACCCGATAAAAAAGTCGCTCTGTACAAGCCGAAGCATGCGGAAAACGCATCCTTTCAACTACCACACACATACAAAAGCCAAGTAAAGTTATTTATAATGTTTAAACGTCGCAGGTATGTGTAACATGATAAATGTAGTCATGTCCTGTGCACTGGCCAAACTCCGTGCCCATAATTCACTAAGCGAAAAAGCGCCACACAGTGCCCACTCAATCCAAAATAACACTTCGAAAAAAAACTTTATTCGAAAAGACAACCAAAATAGCCAAGAGTCGAGAAGTCAGCAATGATTCACTCACCTGAATTTAGAATTCCCCAAAATATGCAGCGCTTGTGTAGGTGATAATGTTGTGTCTCGATTGGTTTATTTTGATAAAATGTAACAAAGTTTATTTTTGGCGGCATGGGGTTGTGTCGACATTATTACGCACACTATTTCACACACAGATCAAATTATTTGTTAGAACGGGAAGCTGTTTATTTACAAATATAAGTTAACTGTCTCTAAGAGTAGTCACATTACTTCATGCAACTTGTCTACTGTTACTGTGCAATAGTTTTTTGATTTTTCTTACGTTACTCTTTGCCTGTAGGTACTTTCGATCATCGTCTCTTTCCGAGGAGAGCTCGCGCACACTATTGTTCATGAAATCGTCGATTCGAACGTCCGTCGAAAAGCGACGTGTGGGGTTGATGCTCATAATTCCATTATCGTTAACCAGGGTGTAGGGAACCCGACCTGCTATCACCCCTCTGGCGGCCTCCTTCGGTATGATAGCCTGCAAATCGTCCCGGCTCACCATCACCGGAAACTCGACTTTGGATCTTTGCACTAGGAGATCTTCTATGGCTAGAAGATTCTGGGTCTTGAGCATTTGTAAAGGCACGTCGCGGGAATTCTTCACTTTCGGACCTTTAGCAATCAGTACTCCACTCTCTCGTATTAGTTGGCGAATCCTGGGGTCCGAACGTCCACGTTCTGGACTCTTTTTGATCCTCTCGATGGCGCTCTTCAGCGAAAAGTCGCGCTCGGCTAGCTGTCGAATCAAAATGACCCGTTCCAGGAGCTCCACAGCACGACTGTCTTCTATGTCATCTATGTCGTCTAGGTCCGTCAAGATTTCTTCAACTTTTCCCATACCTAGGGCTCGTGCAAACCCAATAGCTTCCTCTAGGACGAGCGAAGCGTCCACGAGGTTGGAAAAGTTCGCCTTCATTAGAGTCCTACTAGCCTCTACTATACTCTCCTCTAGTAACTCTATAGCGTCTTCTTCAGTTTTTACCTTGACGTGTCCCATTTTCACGTTTTTCACCACGAGGTTGATGATCTCTGGATCCACCTTTGCTACCTTGACAAACGCGTCACACTTAATTTCGGACTGTTTTTTCAGCACTTTTTCTACGCAATCGATGACGTCGTACGCTGACGAGTTGCTCGCGATGTCGTTCAAGAACGATATTTTCGTCTCGGTGATGTTCTGTGTTAGTTGTTTGAACACGGCGGCGCAGACCTCCGTTCGTTCCTTGGGGGTGTTCATCAAATCTAATAGCTCAACCAGAGTCTGCTCATCGTTTTTCAAAACGTCGACTAAAATATCCGCGATTGAGTGTAGCGCTAGAGTTTGGTCCTTCGGGCGCGTCTTAAAAACGTCGTTAGCGGCAACCACAGCCGTCTTAAGCATAATCTTCAACTTATTACGAGAAGCGTTGAATTTGACGTCGGCTTCAGACAGGTTGCTCACCGAAATATAAGCGAGATTAATATTGTCTGCATTGATGCTATTTCTGTCGCGCAGAGTCGCTGCCCTCCGCGTTAAAGTCATTAAAATATCGGACAGCCTATTTATAGTGTCTTTGTCGTGGCTTATCTTCGAGGCGATTTCTACCGTGTCGCTCTCACTAACATAACTAACAAGACTATTTTCGGTCGAGATACTCAACTTACGCAACTCCTCGAGCTTCTGGCGGAGCTGCTCCCGTTTTTGCTCGATAGCGGCGACGACGTCGTCTAGGCCGTCGTCCATCAAGAACGACTTGAGTTTCTCGATCTCGAGCCGCTGCTGCTCTTGCTTCAGTCGAGCAGCTTCGGCGTCGAGTTCTTCGATTTCGGAATTGTTTAGTTCGATACTCGACACACTATTGGACATGCTTTCCACGGTGTCGGAAACATCGTCAGGGACTAACTCTTCCACCACGGGTTCGGCATCTTCCACTATCGTCTCTTCCACTAACATCATCTTCTTTTTGATCTTCTCGGGCGACGGCTTGGGACGCTCTTCCGGCGTGCTCGCAAACGTGAGCTGCCCATCAGCCGTGATGGTCGACTGAGTCGGGAGGAACATAGGGTCGCGCTCCTCCTCACCCATAATCAACCCGCTAATCAAAGTGGGTTTGTTGTTGACGTTGATGGTGATTCCAGGAGCATATTCCAGCCCGTTTTCGTTCTCGACGGTTTGCCCCGGGACGAACACGTCTCCGTCGTCCGTGTGAACCATCTGTCCGCTCACGAAACACTCTTTCCCTGAAGGAAGAGTGACTTTCACTCCAGACACTCGTCTTTTATTCTTACTCTGACTTTGTTCCTCGGTTTCGTCGTCTTCATCGGCTTCGATTTCGTGCAGAGTCGCACTTCCCATGTTTTTGATAATCTCAGGGATCTCCGTCATCGTTGGCAACTGGTCCAACATTTCGGGACCCTTTTTCAAGAACGTCTCGTTCACGTTCTTCGTCGTTTCTAAATTGTCAATCTCCATATCGATGTCTTGCTCCGCAGCCGGTTCATCAATCTCGTCGATCACTTTTTTGGCGTCTTCTTCGAATTTCTGCCAGTCGAGGTTCTTGATGCTCTCTTGCATCATCGCTTTCCATTCTTTGGACCCTTCTTTGGCTTGGCGTTTCCGTCGCCGCATTATACGCCTCAACTCTTCTTCCCATTTCTCCTCGACTAGCTCTTTTTCTTCGAACATTCGGGCCAGACTCATCGTGTACTTACCGTGGTGGTGGAATTTTTCGTCCTCAGGGCTAGTCGCGCCCTCGCCACAGTAAAGTTTGTCTTCGCCGTCGTAGTACTGGATTTCCATGGGGACTTTCTTCATGCTTTTGAGCTTGACTATGATTTTGTCGTTTCTTTGTGACACCAGAACGTCGATTATGTCACCATCGAGGATGGCCCGCTCCAGCTGCGCTTGCAACACAATGTTATACTTTTTGTCGTCTACCGTGTACACGAAATTCTTCTTCTTGCACTTTTTGCTCTCCAGAATCGAGATGAGCATCTGGTGGCTTTCGTTCTCCGAGTCGAGAACCGGCGTCATGTACGTGAAATCGTCCATCTCTTTGTGCGCTTTCTTACCGTAGTTTTTGACAATCTTGGAGCGCTTCTTGCGGTGATTGAGCAGCACCGGGATGTAGTGCTGTATTTTGGCCCCCAGTAGCCATTTCCCGGTGATCCGGAAGGTCCTCAGCGCCTCTTTCGGCGTCAGCGGCTTGAGGAGCGGCAGGTAAAAATTGCGCGAGAAAATCCGGCTGGCGGCCGTGATTTTACAAAAGGACAACACGTAATTCACCATTTTGCTTTATTTAGAACAAGAACAACAAGGGACGGGACTGATTTATTTAACGCACTCGATTACAATCGACTTTATTATAAAACATGTTCGGACACACGCTCGACAATACAATAATAGAAGCAGATAAGACAGTGAATCGTTTCGTTCGGTTCGTTTCAGCGGCGACGTTAAGTCATCCCGACGTTGGAACGCAACTGGCGTCGCGCCGCCGTGCGTCGCATCCCAATGGACCGCTCGTCTAAAACCGTATTCTCCCGAACTCGGCCCTGTACGCCTGGAGGACGTGCTGGTATTTCAGCATCCTCGTCGCGCTTCGCGTCTTCTCGAGAATCTCCTTCGTTCGGTCGTCCTCCAGGAATTTACCCTTTCTTATGCTTCGTTCCATCTCGACGAGCTTCTGGCTCTTCTCCACCGGATCGACGGGCACGTAAGGGGGCGGCGTTTCGAACTTCATCTCTCTGCATTTCTTCCTGATTTTCAGGCGAATCTGGTCGACGGCGCCCTCTTCTTTGAGAATTTTGTTGCGCATCCGCTCTTTTATCCGTTTCTTTTCTTCCTCTTCGCGCCTCTTTCGGTCCTCTTCGAGGCGCTTCAGCGGGTCTTCCATGGGCTCGCGACGCTGTCTGAACACAAACTCTTTTTTCTCTTTAGGGGGTTCTGGTTCTTTGGGCTTCAAGTCCACGACTGGGCGCTTCTTGACGCGTTCTTTGCGGACGGGCTCCGGGGGCGGCTCCTCGATGACGCGCCGACGTATCACGATTTCCTCTTCCTGTTTCGGCTTTGGCTTGGGCTTGGGCTCGGGAGGTGGGGAGGACGACTCGGACGAGGTGGAGAACTGTCTGTGGACGATAGGAGGGATGTCCTCCTCTCGTACTTCGAACTTGAGCTGACCTTTCTCAGTGATCGTGGATTCGCCGGGCAGGAAAATAGGTTGCTCGTCTTCTTCCTCACCGAATACCAAACCCGGGACCAAAGTGGGTTCGTTTTCCATGTAGATCGTGATACCTGGCGTGTACTCAGTGGTACCGTCGTCGTTCTCGACGGTTTGTCCCGGCATGAACACCTCATTCTCCTCTGTTTTTACCATCTGGCCAGTAACGAAACATGTGCGTTCCTCGGAGATGCTAACCTTCACACCGGAAACGTTCACCATTTCGCACAGCTCCCCACTGTCTAAATTTTTGATGACTTGCGGGATTTCCTTCATGGTCGGTAGTTGTGCCAAGATGTCTTCCCCACCTTCTACTAGTTTCTCGTTGACATGTCTGGTCTTCTCCATGTCGTCGACTTCCATCGGGATGTTTTCTTCCTCGATGGGCTCAGCTACTTCTTCGACTATCTGTTTAGAATCTTCTTCGAATTTGTCCCAGTCCATGTTTTCGAGACACCCGGCCAACATTTGCTTCCAGTCGACGGACTCTTCGCCTCTTACTTTTCTCTTGCGTTTCGTTGCCATTCTCATCATTTCGAGCTCCCATTCTTCCACGCCTTGTTCTTTGGCTTCGAAAAGTTTCGCAATCGACATGGTCTCTTTGCCATGGTGGTGCTCTTCTTCCACGAACCCTTTGGTCCATCCGCTGCCCCTATAAAGCGGGGCTTCGCCTTGGTAGCTGGCCACAGGGACGGTGACTTTAGTGCCGTCGTTCAACCTGACTAGGATTTTTTCGCTTCGTTGGGCCATGGTTATGTCGATGATATCTTTTTCCCTGATGGCCTTTTCCATTTGGTGGCTGATAATCAGGTTGCAGTTTTTATCAGGGATGTCGTAGAGGTATTGTTGACCCTTGCCCCTGGGTTTAGTTGATAAGATACCCTGCAGTAAAAGATGGTTCTCCATATCGTCGTCGAAGAACGGTTCCACATAACGTTCCTTCTCGGTTTTACGAACTCGCTTCTTGATGATGGGTAATCCCTTGATCCTTCGTCTCCTCGCGCTTGTTTTCTCTTCATGGCTGGTTAAGACTGGGATGTAATGTTCGAATCTAGCGCCTAAGACGTTCTGGCCTGTGATGATCTTCCGTCGAAGAGCGTCTTTAGGGGATAGCGGTTTCAGAAGAGGTAAGTAGTAGTTGCGTTGGAAAAGCTTGCTGGCTCTTGTGATCTTGCAGAGGGAAATTTTAACGTTGAGTGCCATTATTTGCTTCTATTTGAACGTCGACTAAAGTTTACTACTGACTATTGTCAACACCGGCATGTATCAGGTAGCGCATCACGTACGATAATGAACTAAAATCAGCGAAGAGGGTCGCGGATGAAAATAGAATCGATCGCAGTGTGTCACCCAACCCGATTAACCGACATATCAATAGCCAGATGCACCGACCTAATTGGTCCAGGTCGCTTTCTACTAATAGACCGACTTCCAAACTCGGTGGCGCATTATCCCCACCGTATCGAATGTATGTCTATACTCGTGCCACTTCCAGAACAACGGCTGCGGGTACTCCTTACTCAAGTATTTCCTGTAGTCCACGTCGAAGAATTTTCCTTTCTTGATGCTCCTCTCCAGCTCCTTCAGCTTCTCGCTCTTCTCCACCGGCTCCAGCGGCTCGTACACCGGCAGCGGCGGCACCACGAAGTTCTTCAGCAGCACCCTGATGTCTCTCCGCATCCTGTCGATCGCCGTCTCCTCCTTCGCCTTCTTCTCGTTGAAGTTCTCCACGCGCTCCTTCTCCTGCTGCAGCAGGTCCTTCTCGAACGTCGGCAGCGTCATATCGTACAACACCGGCTGTCCGGGCACTCGCACCACCTCTTGCACGACAGTTTTCTTCTCTTCAACTTTCTTCGGGGCCTTTTTCGGGCCCTTTTCTCTTCGCTTCGGACCCATGCTCTCGGTAGCGTACAGACGCTTCGGCCGTTCGTAAATGAACTCCTTCTCTTCGCGTTTCTTAGGGGGCGGTGGCGGCGGTTGGAATTCCTCCTCCTCCTCCTCGGTGCTTTGCTCCTCCTCCAACTCCTCCTCCTCTTCCTCAGGAGGGGGAGGCGACGGCGGCGGCGGCGGTGGCAGCGGCAGCGACTGCCTTCTTACGTCGTCGTCTTCGGTTTCGGCGAACTGCAGTTCACCGGTCTCTGTTATGGACGATTCTCCTGGCAGGAACATCGGTTTTTCTGGATCGTCGCCCATTACCAAACCGGGAACGAGAGTCGGCTCGCCGTCCATAACGACGGTGAACCCTGGCGTGTATTCGCTCCTGCCGTCTTCAGTCTCCTCGGTTTGGCCCGGCACGAACAAATTGCCTTCTTCTGAGTTTACCATCTGGCCCGGAATGAAGCGTTCTTTCCCGGAGGATGGTAGGTTCAGGCCCATTCCGGCAACTTCGGCTATTTCGGTCATGGTGCCTTCTTGCATGAATTTCACGCACTCGGGGATTTCGGGGATCGTAGGTAGCAACGCCATCACTTCTTCACCTGCTTCTTTGAGTTTTTCGTTGACGCTTTTCGTTTTGTGCATATCGACTACTTGCATGGGGATGGGTGCGTCTTCGACGGGTTCGTTTATTTCTTCGATTATTTGTTTGGCGTCGTCTTCGAACTTTTCCCAGTCCATGTTCTCCGCGCAGCTTGCCATCATGAGCTTCCAGTCGAGCGTCCCTTCGCCTTTCATCTTCTTTTTCCTCTTGTTGGCGATCCTCATCATCTCCAGCTCCCATTCTTCTAGACCTTGTTCTTTGGCTTCGAACAGTCGAGCTATGGAGTAGGTTTCTTTACCGTGGTGGTGGTATTCCTCGATTTCTTTTTTGGTCCAACCTTCGCCTCGATAGAACGGCGCTTTTCCGTCGTACGTCACTAAAGGCACGGTCACTTTGGTTTCATCTTTTAGCTTCACAACGATTTTGTCGCTCCTTTGAGCCACCATCACGTCGAGGATATCTTTGTCACGAATAGCTCTTTCCATTTCGTGCGAAACCACCACAGTACAGTCCTTATCGGGCACATAGTAACAATAACACTGACCTTTTCCGCGGGACTTCATTTCCAATAATTGCAAGAGTTTGGGATGACCTTCCATGTCTTCATCAATCAAAGGCCTGAGGTACTTCATGTTCTGTTTTTTCCGCAGTCTTCTTTTTCCACGACCTTTCATTCTATATTTCCGGCGTAACACCCTTGTTTGGTACTCTTCCAGAACCGGAATATAGTGCTCAATTCTCGTCCCGAGGACATTCTGCCCGGTGATGATTTTCCTTCGAATGGCATCTTTGGGTGACAAGGGTTTCAACAAAGGTAGATAGAAGTTCCTCTGGAAGAGTTTGCTGGCTCTTGTGATCCGACACAACTGGATCATAACATTGAACACCATCTTGGAAGAATGCAGGGACAACTCGAAGGGTCACTATTGCGGTTTCAACGTCGACTGGCCGCTCGTGCTAACACGAAATTATTTTTACACCACGGTAATCTTCCGGAGACTTTTCGACGTTAGTAATGGGATGTTTTAGGTTTTGGAGTGTCCACACCTGGCACAAATTTTGCACTTGATTTGTCAGCGACCAAATTAGGCGGGTTTTGACCACAAGACTCGGTTTTTTCCACCCATTTGGAATGTTTTACCGACTTGGTCGATTCTCGTTTGGGGTGCCTTCAAATTTTTGTCGTCTTCGGTTTTCGAAATTTGAGTGCTAAAATTTTACGCATGTATGTCGAGCTATTTTTGCACAATTAGAGCAATACAAAATGTCACTGTGCCATGTTTATCGGTTTATACGACGCGTTCTAATTATTTTTAGGACTAATTTATTGTCACCTTTCGTCAGATGATCGTCTCAGGAAGCGTTTGGAATTCTTGAACGGAATCAGGGATGGCATTTGGGGCAGTGACGCGACAAAAAACGTCACTCTTTTGGCGTGGCAACTTTAAAAAACAAAATATTTGTCGCTCGGAGTTATTTATGCAACGGGTGCAAAACTACTACAACTATTATTATTATTATTTAAAGATAGGTTAAATACAGGTTTTTGCGTGTTCTTACAAAAAAGGATAATTAAAATATTGGAGGTGTCGTGTTTTGTTAATATTTCTCTGGCTTTTAGCACGATATTAATCAATTTCCTTAATTGCCATCGTCGTAAACACAACCTAATACACCTCAATTAAATTAACTCGCACAATAGTCCTGTAAGTGTGTAAAAATGAGTGTGAAGCTCTCCATCAGAGATATTAAATTCATTAAATATTTTTACTTCTACTTGAGCCTTTTTCTCATTACACCTTGGTACGATTTTCGAAGAAACCGTGCTTACAAACCAGGTGTTCTTAAAGTGTATGGTGTTATTTTGATGGCAACTACTTCAGTCCGATTATTATGTGCCATAATGGACCACACTTTGTTTAATGCCTACGGGAATTTACAGTATACTCAAAAATTGATAGCATTTGCGATATATGCAGCCACGACTGGTATAAGCTACTTGACAATTTTGAAATCTGCATTTCTAGATTCCCACAATTGGAGAAAATTGTTTATGAATTTTTATTACATCGACACCGAGTTGAAGAACGTTGGAAAACCGGAAACCCAGATAACTAAAAATTTTTATTTTGAATTGGTTTTGAAACATATCTTTTTTGTTCTATTTTTTTTCTTTGAATTCTACATGTGGTGTTCTTTTTTTAAAGTGTCTTGGGTAAAAATGATTACTTTGTTCTCTGGCGTCGACCTTTACTACGAATTTTTGTTAGTCATCCTTCTAAACTCGTTAGTGCATAGTCTGACGATCAGATATAAGGACCTGAATTCCAGACTTTTATACGTTTCGAAAAAAACGAAAATTGTTGATGAGGTACAAAGTATAGTACATTGTTATCGTCTTCTGGGAGAAACTGTCGAAATATACAACAAAATATTTGGACCTCAGATTTTGTTGATTATGTTTCAGTTCGGTTTCGAAATGGTCAGCTGCTTAAACCTTAGTTTTATTTCAGTAGTTTACACTGACTTTACCTTCTATGGAAATGTTTGTGTCGCGAATTTTCTCTGGTTTTTGTGGTTGGCGGTAAGTTGTTGTCGTTTCTGTCTATTTAATTTACTGATTTTTGTAGTATCTTCTTTTGAAAACTGTACTACCGATGAGTGGAACTGTTCAAGAATCTAGAAAATTTATAGACTTGATGTATCAAATGCAAGATCAGCTGAAAGAACACTCTCTGGAAATGACAGCCATAACCAGAATGATTCACTATTCGAAGAACTTTACGAAAACATTTAGCGCTGCTGGTTTTTTCAAAATAAAAAAATCCATCATTTTCGGTTTGGTGTCAAATGTAGCAACCTATGTAATCATAGTTTTCCAGCTGGACCAAAACCAGTTCTTACAGGCATCAGCAAGAAACCAAACCGTGTTTAACTATGATGTACTATAACTTGGTTAAACAATAAAGTCAAAAATATGCACAAAAATGTTCGCTTCAGACATTCCGCCACAACGTGTCTCGTACTGAAAAAATTTTTGGACCGGAACTGCGTATTTTTTTTAATTTGCTGGACGTCAGAACTGGCAGTGGCGAAACTCACGAGAAATTCTATGCGTCATACGGTATTATAAATAACCCCCAAAAGAAATATTTCGAGTCGGACATGTACCACAAGGTTTACGCTGTCTGTCTTCATGAATTTCATTATTATTAACGTCAAACAATAACAAAAATAGACGCTGAAGTGGGACAATGACACAACCACTTGACGAAAATAAAATATGGGATTTTGATGTGATTTAGAGGTGTTGTTTTTCTTGCAAAATTTCAACGACGAGGCGCTTTTTATAAGCGATTTTTCTTCCCGACGTGGATTTATTGCAAGGAAAACACCGAGTGGTCGGGAATCCAGGTTTCAACAGCGCAAGAAGTGGGTCAGTGCGAAGAATTCTCCAAAAAATGTGCGTTGGAAGTGATAATGATGAAAACGAGCATAGCAGAAGGAAACTTGTTCAATTTGACAATAAATCTATACAATGTCTGTTTTTATTTCAAAAAAAAAATAATATATTCATTGCATACTATTTCCTTTGACTCTTATAGACTGTTTTTTTTTAATTAGCTCGTCGATATCTACATCTCAAAATTTTCTGTAGGTTTTTGGGCAAGTTTGCCAAAAGCTTGAATTTTCAAAATTTTAAATTATAAATTAAACTAATTTTTTAAATTGAAGTAAATGACTGAACAATATTAAGAGTAATCGCTAGAATGAAGAGGGGGTGGGTGGGCGGGGCTATTGCTTGCTTATAAAAGACTGTTAGAAAAAGTTAAACTTAGCCCCGCCCACCCACCCGTTCTCTCATTTGACAAGCGAAAATTTTAAAAATCTTGGTCTGGGACCAACAGCAAGTTATGTTTCTCGATACTTATATTTTTTCCATTTTAAACATATTTTAAGTTTCATGTTTAGAAAAGAAGTCTACAAATATTAAAAGAAAAAGGCAAAATGTTTTTTTTTATTCGCCGTGAACCAAGTGGAGTTTAACCGCAAAATTATTAATACCTTTACTAGGTGTTCTTTGTATAATACGATTACTTAAGAACATACTTCATATGTAATTTCTCGTCGAAAAATAAGGATTTGACTATTAAGCTCCGCCCCTCGGCTTACGACGAATAAAAAATAATCATCAGAATTGAGATAGGGTGGGTGGGCGGGGCTTATATTTTGCCTCTGTTTTGCTTAATATATGTAGTCTTGTTTTCACGAGAAGAAACTTAAACAGTAAATTTTTGTGGGGAAATATCGATTTTGCAATTATGCTCCGCCCCTCGATCTGACAACGAATGAGAAATTCTAAATTCATCACAATTGAACTTAGGATGGATATGGGTTGGGCTTCATTTTTGGCTTGTTTTTTTCTTGGTATAGGAACAAGACGATACTTAAAAACATGTTTTTCATTTCTTGTACATTTTCTCTTAATATGTGTGATCATCTTTTCCCAATAAGAAACTTAAAACATGTTTAAAATGGTAAATTTGTGTAGGGAAATATCGATTTTGTAATTACGCTCCGCCCCTCGGTTTGACAACGAATGAAAAATTCATCACAATTGAGACTGGGGCGGGTGGGTGGGGCTTCTCTTTTGGTTTCCTTTTTTAATTAATACCTTTAGTTTTCTTTGTATAACACGATTATAGTCTTTGCCATTTCTATTGAAACACCACTTGTTAATCGTAAATTTGGCAAGGTTCATATTTAGACAATTTTATAACTAAAAGCCGTTGTCAATCAACCGAAAGCTGTTACCAATTGCTAAATTTTAAGCAAAATCAACAGGTGGTGTTTGAATAGAGATGGCAAAGACAATACTTAAGAACATATTTCCCATGGTAATTTCTAATTAAGCTCCGCCCCTCGGCTTACGATGAATAAAAAAAAATCATCAGAATTGAGATAGGGTGGGTGGGTGGGGCTTACATTTTTTCACAACAAAAAAACTTAAAACATGGTTAAAATGGTACAATTTTGCAAGAAAATATGGATTTTGCAATTATGGGGCGGAGCCTAATTGCAAAATCGATATTTCCTTACACTTCTCCATTTTAATATGTATTAAGTTTCATGTTGTGAAAAGAAGTCTACACACATATTAAAACAAAAAGGCAAAATATAAGCCCGCCCACCCGCCCTATCTCAAGAGGGCGAAGCTTAACTGCAAAATACTTATTTCTTTCCAAGAAATTAAAAACATGTTTTTGAGTATCGGGTTGTTCAAAGAATACCATGTGTATTAAGAAAAAAAAACAAAATATAAACCCCGCCCACCCACCCTGTCTCAATTGTAAGGATTTTTTTAATCTTAGAAACATAAAACACATTTAGAATGGTAAATTTTTGTAATAAAATATGAATTTTACATTTAGGCTCCGCCTCTAGATCTGGCAACGAATGAAAACTTCATTACTAGGTATTTAGAGTTTTCTTTGAACAATACAATTACTTCAGAACTTGTTTCACACGGTAATTCCTTGAGAGAACTCTGGTTTGGGAATTAAACTCCGCCTTCCGGCTCATGACGAATAGAAAATTTATAACAATGGCGATAGGGTGGGTGGGCGGGGCTTATATTTTGTCTCTGTTTTTTTTAATATTCGTAGTCTTCTTTTCGCAACAAGAAACCTAAAACATGTTTAAAACACGTAGTCTTGTTTTCATAAGAAAAAACTTAAAACATGTTTAAAACAGTAAATTTTTGTGGGAAATATGGATTTTGCAATTCTGCCCCGCCCCTCGGTCTGACAACGAATGAAAAATTAATCACAATTGAGGTCGGGGCGGGTTTAGGTAGGGCTTAATCTTACACCTTTAGTTTCTAAATATTATTTAGTTCCTTTTGAACACGATTCTTAAATTCATTGTAGAGAAATAAGGATTCTGGAATTAAACTTCGCCCTCTCGACGCACGACGAATAGAAAAATTCATCACAATTGAGACAGGGTGGGTGGGTGGGGCTTATATTTTGGCTCTGTTTTTTCTTTATATGGATAATCATATTTTCACAACAAGAAACTCAAAACATGTTTAAAATGGTAAATTTTTGTAGGGAAATTGATTTCTGTAATTATGCACCGCCCCTCGGTTTGGCAACAAGTGACAAATTCATCACAACTGAGATCTGGGCGAATGGGTGGTCATTAAACTTTGACCAGAATTTTTTACGTTTTTTTTTTAGAAACTTTGTCAAAAGTTAAAATTTTCAATTCTTGAAATTTTTTACCCTTTTCAAGCACCATTGAAATTACCTAAAACCATTTTTTCGTTGATTCCGATTTGCAGAAGGCATGGTTATTCGAAAATCCACCAAAATAAAATATGGCCATTTTTGGGATATTTGAAATTCTTCATTTTGAAACTGAAAAAACTCTTGATCTGGAACCAGCAACATATTATGTTTTTCAAATCAGCTCTTCAATACACCCTATATCCGAAAATTTTTTGTGGGTTTTTAGCAGTTTGTCAAAGATTTGAATAGTCAAAATTTAGAAATTTAAATTAATACATTTTTTTAATTAAAGTAAATAAGTGAACAATACTAAGAGTAATCACTGGAATGAAGAGGGGGTGGGTGGGCGGGGCTATTACTTGCTTATAAAAGACTCTGCTTGAAAAAGTTAAACTTAGCCCCGCCCACCCACCCGTTCTCTCATTTGTTTCTTCTGAAATAATAAATAAATCTTATAGCAAATAGTATAAGAAAAAATTACTATTAGCGTTTTCCAAGCACCTTTGAAAATTACTTAAAGCCTTCTCTCGTTGATTTCGATTTGCAGGAGTCATTTTCGGCAACTTTTGTTCAAAAACTCCAACCACATTTCCAAAATCATCAAAATGAAATATGTAAATTTTTCGGAATTTTAAAAACTTTTATTTATTTTGGAACCGAAAATTTTAAAAATCTTGGTCTGGCACCAACAGCAAGTTATGTTTCTCGATACTGCTCGTCGATATCTATATACCAGAATTTTTTATGTTGTTTTCAGAAACTTTGTCAAAAGTTTAAATTTTCAATTTTTTGAAATTTTTTACCTTTTCCAAGCACCTTTGAAATTACCTAAAACCATTTTTTCGTTGTTCGAAAATCCACCAAAATAAAATATGGCCATTTTTGGGATATTTGAAAATCTTAATTTTGAAACTGAAAAAACTCTTGATCTGGAACCAGCAACATATTATGTTTTTCAAATCAGCTCTTCAATACAACCTATATCCGAAAATTTTTTGTGGATTTTTAGCAGTTTGTCAAAGATTTGAATAGTCAAAATTTAGAAATTTAAATTAAATACATTTTTTTAATTAAGGTAAATAACTGAACAATATTAAGAGTAACCACTGGAATGAAGAGGGGGTGGGTGGGCGGGGCTAGTATTTGCCAAGATAAGACTGGTTTTTGCAGATAACATACCCTCTAAGAAAACAGAGGGCGGGTGGGCGGGGCTAGTATTTCTTATGTTAAGACTGATTTTAGTAAATGACTGAATAATATTAAGAGTAATCACTGGAATCAAGAGTGGGTGGGTGGGCGGGGCTATTGCTTGGTTATAAAAGACTGTTAGAAAAAGTTAAACTACCATTATGGGAGTTCACGATACTTACGAAGAAAAACACATGCCATGTCAAAATTTGATGATAGTTCATCTGCAGCAATGAAGCTAAAAAGACTTTAAATAGTCCTAAATTAAATCAGAACTTAAGTTTCATAAATAACAACTAAGTACGAATTAATTGGTGTAACATTGACAAAATTAGAAAAACAAAAAGTACCCCTAAGTGAATCCGTACAGCTAATAGAAAATAACAAAAAAATTACAGTAGCGGTCATTTCTACGGAACCACTCGATAAAAAGTCAGGTTGGTAGCTCTGTCATCTAGTACTTTACGCCGAACGTGGTTGGTAGCGGTAGTTGACATGGCAATCGAAACTAGCACAACACGAATGTTTCGGTTGCCCTCAACTATGCCGCACTGTATCCCGTACAGACTGTATGTTCTGTTCATCTATTTATTAAAATAAAATATCTACATTGACAATGGGGCCATCTAACCTGTCAAATTTTTGACACATATGTTTTCCCCCAGAAACCCGTCAAGGTCACTTACACCAAACAAATTTTGAAAATTTACACTAGGGAGTGGTTCTATAGAAAAGATCGCGACTTTAGACGAAGTCCTTAGTAAAAATGGGGGGTTTTACTAGACTAACTAATGTGGTAAAAGTTTTAGATGAACGGTTCTCAGATGAGGTAAATATAGACCCTCAAATTGTGTCGTCCCTTAAATATGCCCCAGTAACACCTGTCGATGTAGAGCATAGTTTTTCCGTGTATAAATATATTTTAAGTTCAAATATGTGTTATCTAAGTTATAAGTGTTGTAAGGAATGATAGAAACAAAATATTAATGTGTAAAATAAGTAGTTTTTCTTGCATATTTTAGCAATTTTTTGCATATATAATGCCAAATTTCTCTGCATATAAATGCGCATATTTACATGTTCTTTTGTGCATATAATTCCGAACTTTAGTCATGGTATAGATTTTGCCACTATAAAATAATGTTGCATTTCTTTCGAAATATCGTCGCCACTTTTATATCGTTCTATTATCATCATCGTCCCTATATTTAGATTTAAATAAACACTTTTCAAAGGACAAGAACACCTGTAGATGCTAGATGGCGCTCTCCACGAGACGTTTTTGACATAAGCGAACATAACCTATAACTTGATGCCGTCTAATCACACAATGTTTATTGCGATGTTTCAATAAACACAGAGCGACCTTGGTGATTATCAATTGCAAAAATTGCTTTTACAATGGACGAATTCGGTTTAAAGTAAGTGGGCCCCCATTAATACACCTTTTTAGTTAAAAAATTTCCAGTAGAGACGATAAGTTCGTGGACATCCACGGACGTGAAGTACCTACTAGAAAGTTAGGTATCAGGCAGGAAGAAGTGTGTTTGTTGTCTGATTTAAAACAGACCGGAGTCGGTATTTATCAAAAAAGCCAGTATGCAAAATTAGCCACAGTTCCCAAGTACGTTTTCCCACGCGCCTAAAATTGTCACAATTTTTCTTTTGCAGAAATTACGACTCTGAATTCCTTGACTACATGCTGGACGCGGCTAAATCCTACATGCTAGCCAACAAAATATCGTTTGCGGAGGAGCAGATCATGCACAGCATTGAGCAGTAAGTTTTGTAGAGTGTGGTAGCGTGTCTAAGAAAAGTGTTTCAGTTGCAAGGCGTACTTAAGTAGCAACAAAAAACCGCAGCATCAAGTCAGTCGCCAGTCCATCCTAAACAACAGAATAGTGAAAACAGGATCTGATGAAGAAATACTCATTCAAGTGCCTAACACAAGTGCGCCCAAATCCCCACACACACCTAAAATGAAATCACCATTACACAAATCTCGGGTCACTAGTGAACAGGCACAAAGAAGAGTCCATGAAAGGGGTACTCCTCCGCAAGCAACAACATCACAAACAAGAGACACACTAATGAATGGTGTGGTGCTAAAGCAAGCAAGGAGTTTTAGTGCAGCTGAAGATGGGCAAAGTGTCCCTAGATTACGACAACCTAGCAAAATTACTTACAACATTATACAGGAGGAACACGATGTAATGGTGACAGCTATTGATAAACCCAATTGTGTTTGGGTGAGGGACGTCATGAATAACGCGCTATTGGAGAAGATTCATCACAAGGTTAACGAAGAGGCGCGGTACAAACCAGCCGCACCCAAACCGTGGGTCATGGATAAAGTATACATGGCCAGGGACGAAAACAACTGGTATATTTTTCAATCTCACCAACATAATTTACACAATTTTCATTTCCACTAGGTTTAGATGCAGAATCTATCGCTACTGCCCCCTCACCGCTTTTTTCCTCGACTACGGCAACGTGGCCGAAGTCAACGAAGTCCGCGAAGTCTCAGAAGAACTGGCGAAAACCCCGTGCTTGGCAGTTCGCATCACCTTCAAAGACAACGAGTACAAACCAGTAGTGGAAGACGTCATCCGCATAAAGCGCTTCATGAAAAACAGCGACGGCACGTTTTTCGTCAACATTTTAAGAAATTCGTTGAACGCCGCAACGCCAATGTTGAAAGAATCATCATTCACAAATCTCGTCGAAAAACCCGACTACAAACGTGAAAATTCCGTTGTGGAGTCACATGATAGCGACGGCTGGGATTCGCCCGACGAGTTTCCGACGTCGCAGAAACGTGCCGAAGCGACGTTTTTCAAAAAGCCGCCGTTTTTCTGCAAAGTGGAGAACGACCAAAGGGTCACTATAAGTCACGTCAAGGACGACGTGATCTACTTGAAAACGAAAGAATGTTTCGAGAAATCGAGAGAGATAGACGACGTGATTGAAAATTATGCTGGAAAGGCGAAGAACGTGCAGAGGGTTGAAGTTGATCAGTTGGTGTTGTATGAAGGTGAAGAGGGTAAGTTTTATCGAGCTGTGGTGGTGAAAGTGGAGGATAAGAGGGTTGAAATTGAGACTCTGGATCATGGGGAGTGGAAAAGAGTGGCGCTAACAGCTCTCAAAAATATCAGTGAAGAGTTAAGTAGAGCACCTATTACATATTTTGTGGGAGGGAAGTTAGCAGGGTTTGAACAAGGACTGGGTGATTGGCAGAAGAAAATTATTGAAGAATATGCAAAAAAGAGGAAGAAATTTGTAGTTGTAAGTAAATTAATATAATTTTATTGATTTTAGTTTAATATAAAATTTTCAGTCGCTGGGTTTCGACGACGAATTGGATTTATATGACGGCACACAACTCCTCTCTGAGGAGTTCCAAAACATTAAAAAAGAACCGCGCAAAGTCATGCTCAAAGACGTGGAAATCTACAAGCCTGAAGTAGGCACAAAACCATACTTCTGCGGTTTTTACAAAAGTAGTAATGAAGTCACTTTTGTGGCTAGCGATGCTTTAACCACACACATGGACTTGGTCACAAGATCAGACGTTGAAGACAGAGTTCCTTACAGTCCAGCCACAGGAGAAGTTTGTTTATGCTACTACTTAGGTCAGTTATTTTCATCTTTAGTAAACTCTCCCCACTCATAATTCTCTTCCAGATCATTGGTACCGCTGCGTCGTGATTCGAATCTTCGGAAAAAACTGCGAAGTCGTCTTACTAGATTTTGGAAGAGTTGAACTGATAAACAAGGAGGATTTGAGGAAGCCTGACGAAAAAACAACGGCGATTCCGGCTTTAGCAATACCCTGCGTTTTAGTAGGTTGGTATGAAACAACGACAATCGGCTTTGTCTTACTGGTAATTTCAGGCTTGCCACAACATCCCAATATTGAAAATATGCTCAAGGACTTGATTCTCTATGGCGAATTCTACAACGTGGAAGTAAAAAGAATCAGCGGGGGTAAATGCGATGTGGAAGTTCCAGCTGTTTATAAAAAAATAAGGGATTCAGCATGATTTTATGTAGGTGTAATTGTTTAACTGCTGCTTTTTTATGTATACTTACTTTGAGAATTTGAAGTAGTCATACGTTATGTACTCGTCCAAGATGGTTTTATTGTATCAATAGAAAATACAACAGATCTGATGCGGTTTTATGTAAATTTCGACTTCTAATAATAAAACGTGCGTTGAAATATGTTTTCGCTTGTTTTTATCGAGCTACATCTAGTGGCGCAAGAAATGTTTAAATCGATTGTGGCGCCCTCTAGGTCGATCGATACATTTCTTAGGTCCAAACGCTTCTGCTTTATTTTCGATTTTCCGACAAACAGGAGATATTCCAATGTGCTAGCTTTTCCATATTTTCTGTTGTCTAAATTAGAGATGGGAACTATCGTTACTTTGGTGTACTCGTACGTATTCGTTACTTTTTAAAAAAGTAATCGTTATTTATAATCGTTACTTCGGGTATTGATTACTCAATGAAACTCGCTTTGGTTTGGTTTTATTGCGGTATGAAAATATCTAATAATTTCTGGAATAATACAAAAAATATATTTAAATCGTAAAAAAATACAAAAATAAATCAAATAATATTACATAGAATAAAAAAAAAAAACAAAAACAAGAAAACTTACTTATTATTTAGTAACTTTAAATACTTCATTAAATTTTTGTTAGAGAGTAATCAAGAGTTAGGCCCGAAGGCCTGAACTAACAAAATGCCGCATTATTTTTAACTTACTCCTTTTTCTATATTCAACATTTAACTCAACTTGAAAGCGAAGTGTTAGTACATAAAAATAAGAGTATTTGATTTATAGGTTTAGTAGGTCGGTAGTTCTCGGTATTTCGGCAATCGGTTCTTGATTCCTTAGTATTTGAATCCAGAATGCATACTCGAAATCACGAAATGAGCAGTAATCATTGACGAATAGTAACGATTACTTTTCAACTTCGATACTCGGTAGTTCGGATCTCATCGTGTACCGAATACTTTGTAACGAATAGTTACTACCCGTCCCACCTCTAGTCTAAATCAGAGAACATAGAGAAGCGTCATAGTTTAAATTAAATGACGGTTGAGGACTCCTAGACTTATGTTGGCAATAGTGTTTGTTTCTAACTAGGAATAAATATAACTAGAAAACATGTCATAATATTTTTAAAGACGCGTTTTAACTTTCAACAAATTGACACTAGATTTACCAGAATATTACAAGCTGCTTACTGTTTCCTCCACTTTAATTCAGGTCACACGAATTACAGTTCGTCGTCTTTTCAATTTCTCGGTTTTCAGTTTTTTCCTTAATTTTACGATTTTTAAATATTTCGATTTTTCAATTTTTGACTTTTATAAACTGTTTATTTGTCGATTTTTCAATTAATTGATTTTTCAGGTTTTTTGGTTTTTCAATTTTTCTTTTTCCTCAGGTTTCGATTTTTCAACTTCATTTTTTTGATTTTTCGATTTCTCAATTTTTTAATTTTGGGATTTTTCAGTTTTTCGATTCGTCAGTTTTTCTTTCATTTTTCAGTTTTTCGATATTTCAGTTTTGGGATTTTTCAATATTTCTGTTCTTCGACTTTTCCATTTTTGACTTCTGGATTTTTCGATTTGTCGACTTCTTACTTTTTCGATTTTTAAATTTTAGATTTCTCAGGTTTTTGGTATTTTAATTTTTCGATTTCTGGATTTTTCATTTCAGCTCTTCCATATTTCAATTTTTCAAATGTTTCGATTTCTTAATCTTTCAATTTTTCGATTTTTAAATTTTAGATTGTTCAGTTTTTGATATTTTAATTTTTCAATACTTAAAATTTTAGATTTTTCGAATTCTCGATTTTTCATTTCAGTTCTTCGATATTTCAGTTTTTCAAGTTTTCGAATTTTTCAAATGTTTTGATTTCTTAATCTATCGATTTTTCGACTTCCCTGTTCTAGATTTTCTGTTTTTCACTGCCGTTTTTTCAAATTTTCAATTTTTCAAATCTGACACTTATAAACTGTCAATTTTTCGATTTTTCAATTAATCGATGTTTTGATTTTCCCATTTCTTGACTTTCGAGGGTTTTGATGGTCCTGTTCTTCAATTCTTTAATTTTTCGATTTTTCCGGTTTTTGATTTTTCATTTTGCAGTTTTTTTAAGGTTTAGATTTTTCGACTTCCCTTTTTGGATTTTTCGACTTTTAAGGTCTGAGTTTTTGGATATTTCAGTTTTCAGATTTTTCAGTTTTTCGATATTTTCAGTTTTGGGATTTTTCAATATTTCGATTCTTCGACTTTTCGATTTTTGGCTTCTGGAGTTTTCAATGTGTCGATTTTTTTACTTTTTCGGTTTTTCAATTTTTCGGATGGTTAATGTTTCGATTTTTCGACTTCCCGGTTTTAGATTTTCTGTTTTCAATTCTCGTTTTCAATTTTCCGATTTTTCGATGTTTTGATTTCCCGATTTAGTTTCCCATTTTTAGTTTTTTTTTTTCATTTTTCAGTTTTTCGATATTTCAGTTTTGGGATTTTTCAATATTTCGATTCTTCGACTTTTCGATTTTTGACTCCTGGATTTTTCGATTTGTCTATTTTTTTACTTCTTCGATTTTCAAATTTTTCGATTTTTAAATTTTAGCCTTTTTAATTTTTAAAATTTTAAATTCATTTCTCGTTTTTTCTTTTCAGTTCTTCGATATTTCAATTTTTCAAGTTTTCGAATTTTTCAAATGTTTCGATTTCTTAATCTTTTGATTTTTCGACTTCCCGGTCTTAGATTTTCTGTTTTCAATTGTCATTTTGTTAAAATTTCGATTTTTTAATTTTTCAAATTTGACTTTTATAAACTCTCAATTTTTCGATTTTCCGATTTCTCGATTTTTCATTTCAGTTCTTCGATATTTCAACTTTTCAAGTTTTAGAATTTTTCAAATGTTTTGATTTCTTATTCTATCGATTTTTCGACTTCCCTGTTTTAGATTTTCTGTTTTTCACTTGCCGTTTTTTCAAATTTTGGATTTTTCATTTTTTCAAATTTGACATTTATAAACTGTCAATTTTTCGATTTTTCAATTAATCGATGTTTTAATTTTCCCATTTCTTGACTTTCGAGGGTTTCGATATTTTCTGTTCTTCAATTCTTTAATTTTTCGATTTTTCAGGTTTTTGATTTTTCATTTTTTAGTTTTTTTAAGGTTTCGATTTTTCGACTTCACTTTTTGGATTTTTCAACTTTTTGGGTTCTCAGTTTTTGGATATTTCAGTTTTCAGATTTTTCAGGTTTTCCATTTTTCAGTTTTTCGATATTTCAGTTTTGGGATTTTTCAATATTTCGATTTTTCGACTTTTTGATTTTTGGCTTCTGGAGTTTTCGATGTGTCGATTTTTTTACTTTTTCGATTTTTAAATTTTATCGACAAATTGAGAAATCGAAAAGTCGAGAACTGGAAGTCGAATAATACAAAATTTGAAAAATTGAAAAATGGAAAAACGATAACACGAAAATTCAAAACATTTAATTGAACAACTGAAAAATCGAACGACCGAAAAGTCAGAAAATTGAAGAATGGGATAATAAAAAAATCGATTAATTGAGAAATTAGAAAATCGTAAAAATGACCATTTATTAGAAACGTTATAAATCGAAAAATTGAAAAATCCAGAAATGCAAAAGTTGTCAAAATTAAAATATGTATTGAAAAATTGAGAAATCGAAAGCTCGAAAAATCGAGAAATCTAAAAATCCAAAAATTTGAAAAATTTTAAAAGTAGAAAAACCGGATCGTCAAGAAATCAAAACATTAAAGAATTGTAAAAACGAAAAATTGAAACATCAAAAATTTAAAAATCCGCCACATTGAAAAATACATCGGAGAACTGAAAAATCGACAAATCGATAAATCGAAATGTCTAAAATTAAAAAAATTAAAAAATTAAAGTAGCGAAATATTGAATAATGGAAAAATTGAAAAATCGAGGAATCGATGCTTCGAAAAATCGAAAAATGGAAATTTCAAAAATCTAGAATTTGTAAAAATGAAAAAGGGAAAACCGAGAAATTCAAAATCCGAAATTGAAACAATCGAAAAATTGAAAAATCAAAAAATGAAAAATCGAGAATTTAAAAAACTGAAACATCAAAAAAATGGAAAATCGAATAACCGAATAGCCGACCAGTAGAAAAATCGAAAATTTGAGCAATGGGAATAGTTCAAAACTGAAAAAATAGAAAAATTGAAGGATCGAAAAATCGAGAAATTGATCAATTAAAACATTGAAACACCGAAAAATTTATTAATATAAAAATCGAAAAATTGAAAAATCTAGAACCAACAAGTTGAAATTTCGAAAGATCAAGAAATTGAAACAAAATCTAAAATTTAATGTTCGAAAAATTGAAAAACAGAAAAATCAAAGAACTGAAAAATCGAAAAATAGAGAAACGGAGAAATGTAATGTCTTCATAATTGAAAAATTAAAATTTGGAAAAATTGAAAATTGAAAAATCGACAAATCAAAACAAAAAATCGAAAAATTGAAAAATCTAAAATTTTAAAATCCAAAAACTAAAACAATGAAAAAATAAAAAACCGAGAAATCGAAAAATCGAAAAGTCGAAAAATCGAAAAACTGAAGAATCGAAATATTGAAAAATGATGAAACTAAAACACCGAAAAATTGAGATATCGAAAAGTCTTAAAGTGGAAGTCGAATAATAATAATGGAAAATCTGAAAAATCGAAAATGGAAAACGAAAACCCGGAAATTCAAAAACTTAAATTGAAACACTGAAAAATCAAAAAGTCGATTCGATTTTTGACTCCTGGATTTTTCGATGTGTCGATTTTTTTAATTTTTAAAATTTTAGATTTTTCGATTTTTTATTTCAGAATTTTCCAAATGTTTGTATTTCTTAATGTTTAATTTTTAGACTTCCCGGTTTTAGATTTTCTGTTTTTCAATTGTCATTTTGTCAATTTTTCGATTTTTTAATTTTTCAAATTTGACCTTTATAAACTCTCAATTTTTCGATTTTTCAGTTAATCTATGTTTTGATTTCCCCATTTCTTGACCTTCGAGTGTTTCGAATTTCCGGTTCTTCAATTCTTTAATTTTTTGATTTTTCAATGTTTCGATTTTTTAAGGTTTCTATTTCTCGACTTCACTTTTCTGATTTTTCGGTCTTTCTGTTTTTGACTTCTGGATTTTTCGATTTGTGTGTATGTACTTTGTATGTACTTTATTAACGGTATTGTTGTACCTTTTACAAATGTCAATAAACTAACAATTTTAAATGGAGAAATTACATATGTACTTATCTAACAGAACATTTTTCAAATTACGTTTAAACGATACAAAAGGGACACCCACAATATCAATATCTCTTAGTGTTAAGGTACTTTTACTGATCCTACTACGAGCTGATTCCCTACCATACAAAGTGCGATGGAATGGAATGCTCAGCAGATGAGTAGATCTTACATTTCGTTGTGGAACATACAATGAGAATAATTCCAACAAAGGTGGACACGTAATCAAAGAATTTAAAATTTTAAAACAAAAAAACACATCAAACATTAACCTACGTAATTCTAATGGCCATAGACCAAAATAAATAAGAATATTTAAGTAATTTACTCTAGAATATAACACATTAAATTTGAAGCACAAAAATCTCACAAACTTTTTTTGAATATTTTCTAATCTATTAATAAACACTTGATAAAAAGGACACCATATGACACAGCAATATTCGACAATAGGGCGAACTAATGAATTAAATAAGATTAACAACGGGCGAACATCTTGTCTACCTTTTTACTTTTTCGATTTTTCAATTTTTGGATTTTTAAAGTTTAGATTTTTCGACTAATTTTTAATTTTTCCATATTTCTTAATCTTTCGATTTTTCGACTTCCTTGTTTTAGATGTTCTGTTTTTCAATTTTTCGATTTGTTAATTTTTCATTCCCGATTTATCGAGATGATTGTTCAGGTTTTCGATTCATCAGTTTTTCAATTTTTTATTTTGGCCTATTTCGGTTTCTCAGTTTTTCCAGTTTTCCATTTTTTCGTTTTTTGATTTTTCCTTTTTTTCCAATTTTTCAACTTTTAACTTTTTGTTTGTCGATTTCTATATTTTTCGATTTTTCGACTTCATCACTTTTCGATTTCTCGTTCTTTGGATCTTCCAATCCCTCAATTTTTCAATTTTTCGAATTTTTAAGTTTTTTGTTGTTCGACTTTTCGACTCCACGATTTCTTGATCTTTTGATTTTTCGATTTTTCAGTTATCCGATTTTTTAAATTTGGTGGTTTCGATTTCTCGATTTTTCGTTATTCGGTTTTTAAATTTTAGATTTTTGAATTTTACATTTTTTCGATTTTCTGATGTTTCATTTTTCGATTATTTTAATTTTTCATTTTTTTTTTATCACTGTTAATATCATACAGTGTGTTTCAAAACATTTTTCCGAAAAAAATCCATTGGGTTATTACGATTTCAACAATATTCTTAGTTTAAGACGTTTTGCTAGTACAAAACACAAATAAAGAATTAATTCTTAGTTAAACAAAATATGTAAAATCATCTAAATATGTACCAAAAATATTCACTTAGTCGTTATAAAAACCGCAGAAATTATATTCCTAACCTACCAAATCGCTTCTGAACGCTTAGAGTCGACATTGGCCTGAGCGGACTCTGGAGTCGTAGTGAAACAAGTTTTTGACTATTTAAATTTGGCGCTTGCCTTTGACGGTTGAGGACTCCAATGTCAATAAGGGTGGTTTTGCAAAATCAGCCCGTATGTCGCATCTGTATTAATCTATGTCTAAACTGTCACAAATCTTGCCTTTTTCTTTGTTCAATCACAGACTAGTTCAATCGTCATTTCAAAAATCCCGCCTAAACCCTGCGTTTCCATTGGCTAAAATCCACTTTCACATGGTGGCACCATTTTGAATTCATTCAAAATTGAAAGTTGTTGTCAGCGGTCATCAGGAACAAAAAACGCGATTTGGTTGTGATTTTTTGTTAAAAAACGGTTAATGGTGTTGTAAAATGGCGTACGGTTCGACTTACAGGTAGGTGGAGCGATGATTTCGCGCTGTCGTTACCTAACCTCAATTTGTGCCCCCTTGTCAGCGAAGACACCGGTTATGTTAATATTCATGGACAAGACGTCCGAGTGCTCGTCTGCAATAAAACGGGGAGTATTGCAATCCCGATTGATGAAGTCAAAGAAATGGGGTTTCGGTTGTACCGCAAAAGCCAGTACAGCAGGCTCTTGATAGACGACAAGTACGTTCACTCTTTAAACCGAAAACAGCGTGATTATTTGATTCACGTATTTCTCTGTATTTTGTGTGACCCTTCAATATTTATTATTTCAGCCAATTTGGAAAAGAGTTCTATATGTACATGCTCGACTGCGCCCAAACGTACATGCTAAAAAAAGAGATAGTTTTTAAAGAGAACGACATTCTCGAAAACATTAACAAATGTAAAGCCGCGCTCACAGGCAATCAGAGTAACAAATTCTCGCTTACGCCCCCTCGTCATAGTGTTGTACGTAGCGAAACTCCAAGCAATCCAGTGTCACTTAAAACCCTTCCCGGTAATTTCGCGGAGAATCACGTAGTCGAAAGTAGCCCCGATCGCATCACGGTGACCGCAAATTTGAGGGAGTTCTCAGCCAGAGTGAAGCAAAGTGCACACAACGATGCCAGATTTAGGGGGTTTGTCAAAACTAGGAGTCCGGCGGCTTCGGTTAACTCCGCCGACAGTTGTCACTTCGAAAATAATCATGAAAGACGAGTTTTCGGTGAAAGTAGTTTCGAACAACGGAAGCCGCTGAGTCCTAGAACGCCTAACGATAACGGCGCCAAAAACAGTTTTAATAAATCAAACAACAGACAAACTGACGTAGAGGATTATGAAGAACCGACAAAGAGACTTGAAACCATTGTGTTGAATAAACCTGAGCATAAAGTAATTAATTAATTATTTTTTTTTTTTTTTGTTTGCTTTATTTGATTTTATTTTATAGGTTCTGATATCTTTTATTGAAAAAGCAAACACTGTGTGGGTGCAGGATGTAGACAACTGCGAGGTTTTGTTAGAAATTGATGGCAAGATTAAAGAGGATATAAACAAAGAGGAGGAAAAAATTTATAGGCTTGCTTGGAATAAAATGTACCTAGCGTTGTCACAAGAGGATGATATGTGGTTAGTAAATTTGTAAATCGATTATAAATTATTTAAAATAAAAAAAATATTTTTTTTCGTGTAGGTATAGATGTAGGGCAATCAAGTTCAACCCCCTCACAGTTTTCTTCGTGGACTATGGCAACACCGCCGAAGTGCCTTACGTCCGAAAAGCCTCTGAATCCCTATCAAAAATCCCGTGTCAAGCCATCAAAATCATATTCAATGAAACCCAATACAACCCTGTACTCTATGAAACCATCACCATCAGAACAAAAAAACGCGTAAATTCACGATTGTCGTCGTCATTATTACAAATTAAATTAATTTTTGTTGTAGTTCGAGAACGGCTCCTACGCAGTCGACGTTAAAACCGACCAAGAACCCCCTTGTTTGCAGGCGGAGCTCCCTAAAATCCCCTCTATCCCCACTTTTTTCACCAAACCCCAGCCCCTCTGTCCGCTCGAGAACGGCCAAAGAGTGATGCTCCTCTCCCACATGAACGGAAAACTGGCCCTTAGAACTAAAGAGTGCTATGATAAATTCAAGCAAGTAGAAAAGGCGTTAGAAGAGCGAGGGGCTAAGGCGGAGCTTGTTGAGAAGGTGGAGAGGGGGCAGTTGGTTTTGTGTAAGAGGGGGAAGTTCCAAAGGGGCATGGTTAAAGATATTCAGAGTGGTGGGGTTGTAGTTGAGTTGTTGGATCATTGTGACACAGTTAACGTGGATTTGTCGAATCTTAGACACATTAATGAAGGGTTGGCCATGCAGTCACTCACCTATGTTCTAACACCGCAAATTAAGGGGTATGATGACAATGTTGACGAAATTTTGCAGCAGTTATGCCAAAAGAGCGTGAAAGGAACTGTGGTAAGTACTAAAAAAGAAATTCGTGGGGCTTGATTTAATTGCTTTGTTAGAAAAAAGAAATGTTTATGACGAAGTCGAGGACTAGTAGAACCTGAGGGATCAAACTCGTCACGCTTGTTTTGTATTCTATTGACAATAAGAATTTTAAACTTGAAAAGTTTTGGTTTCGTGTTTGTATGTCTCGATTTGTTCACTTTTTTCACAATTATAATCCAGTTCAAGTTGATGTTTTAACTTTAAGGAAGCTTTACTAAAATTGCTTGGTTTTATTAAAACTACTAAACTGTTGCAGGTTTTATCAGCTAACAATGACTTTGACATTAAACTAGTTGATGGGTTCCTCTCTGACAAACTTAAACCACAACATAGCGGTCGCCCGATGTTAAAAGACTTTCAAATTTACACCCCTCCTTTAGGTTTAGACAGTTATATTTGTAACGTTTACGAGAACAAAGACAGCGTTTATTTCACTTCTGAGAAAGCGCTTGTTGAGCACTTGAAGTGCGTTATTATATCGGAAATGGAAGATGGCGATGCGTACGAACCCGTTGTGGGTGAAGTCTGTCTGGGTTTCTATCAAGATAGTTGGTCCAGGTGCGTCGTAATGAATGTGACGAATCGCAGATTTGAAGTTCGATTCATTGATTTTGGTAACGCAGACGTACTTAAGGCGGATCTGTTGAGAAAATTGACGGATGATGCCAAAGGGGCGCCTGTTTTGGCGTTCTGCTGCAAGTTAACAGGTAAGGGTTAACTGTCCGTCAAACTCGTTTGTTCAGAGAACTTGTTTGATCTACAGACCAGAGCGCGCTCAAGCCAATATCGACTCTAAGCGATTTATCTATAAGCCCACATTCGTTAGAGAAATGACGTAAGCGCACCCGTGTTGAGTTTTTAACGTAGACGCCAAGATTTTCTTGGAAAAAAATGGCCATTTTCCAGTTTATAGTTATTGGAAGCATGTTAAATCTTTAGTCAAAATTTATCCGTTCATGCCCCCATAAAATTTGTCGAATAAATGTTATTTGAATGTTAAAAAATAGCATAGTCCTGAACTTGTGGTTTATAAATATGCTTTTGAGATTTTTCGGCTTTTCGAGGTTTCAGTGATAATATGATTTCTCAATTTTTGCCCTCTTCAATTTTACAGTTTTTAATATTTTCAAATTTTGATTTTTCTAAATTTTCAGTTTTTCGATTTCTCAATTTTCCGGTGTTTTAATTTCTCAGTTTTTTGGATATTTCTTTCAGTTAAGAGATTTTTCAATATTTTGTTTTTTCGATTTTTGGACTTCTGGATTTTTTTGATTTTATACTTTTTGGGTTTTCAATTTGTCGTTAGACTTTAGTTTTTTCCATTTTTCGGCTGTTTTATATTTCGATTTCTCAATTTTCGAACTTTTCGATGTTTTAATTTTTCAATTTTTAAAATTCTAGGTTTTTCGATTTCTCGAGTTTTCAGTTCTTGTGTTTCAATTTTTCGAATTTTAAATTTTCGATTTTCCAATTTTTCTTTTTTTTTATTTTTCAAAAATTTGTTTTAGTTTTTGAATTTTTCGATGTTTCGATTTTTCGGTTTTTTACTTTTGGGTTTTTCAGTTTCTCGATTTTCCAATTTTTATGTTTCGATTTTTCAGTTATCCGATTTTTCATTTTTTTAACTTCTGGAGTTTCAGATTATCGATTTGTCGATTTTTCAGAATTTCGATTTTTAAATTTTAGATTTTCGATTTTTTTTTTTTGATTTTTTGATGTTTGGATTTCGTTTCTTCAATTTTGCCGTATTTTAATTATTCAATGTTTTAAATTTTAGAATTTTCGATTTCTCGATTTTTGATTTTTCAGTTGCTAAATTTTCAGTTTTCCGATTTCTCAATTAATCAATTTTTGATTTTCCTATTTCTTGACTTCTCAAAGTTTCAATTTTTCTGTTCTTCAATTCTTCGATTTTTCGACTTTATTTGTTTTTCGATTTCTCAATTTTTCAATTATTTAATTTCTCAATTTTTGGATATTTCCTAGTTTTGGGATTTTTAAATTTTTCGATTTTTCGACTTCTGGATTTTTCGATTTTTTATTTTTTGGATTTTCAGTTTTTTGTTTTTAAATTTCCGATTTTTCAATTTTTTGAGATTCCGATTTATCGAGATTCGGATGTTTCAATGTTTTGTTTGATTTATCAATTTTTTCCATTTTAACTTTTTGATTTGGGCCTATTTCGGTTTTTCAGTTTTTGAATTTTACGATGTTTGGATTTTTTGATTTGTAGGTTTTTAGATTTTTTACTTTTCGGTTTTTCGATGTTTGGATTTTTGAATTATCCGGTTTTCCATTTTTCCATTTTTTTAAATTTTTGAGTTTCGATTCATCGATTTGTGGATTTTTCTCAGCTTTTCGATGTTTAAATTTTAGATTTTCGAATTGTAATTTTTTTGATTTTTTGATGTTTGGATTTCTCCATTTTTCTGTTTTACGACATTTTAATTTTTCAATGTTTTAAATTTTAGATTTTTTGATTTTTCAATATTTCTTAATTTTTCAAATTTTGGCATTTCTGAATTTTCGGTTTTCCGTTTTCTTAATTAATTTATTTTTTGATTTTCCCATTTCTTGATCGAAAGTTTCGATCTTTCAGTTCTTCAGTTCTTTTTCGATTTTTCAGGTTTTTGATTTTTCAATTTTTCGATATTTCGTTATTTGAGTTTTGGGATTTTTTAGTATTTCGATTTTTCGAGTTTTGGATTTTTTATTTTTTGGATTTTCAATTTTTCGTTTTTTAAATTTTTGTTTTTCAATTTATCGACTTACTTATACTTCGATTTCTCAATTTTCAACTTTTCAATTTTTAAAATTTTAGATTTTTCGATTTCTCGAATTTTCAGTTCTTCGATATTTCAATTTTCGGAATTTTTAAATTTTCGATTTTCCAATTTTTTAAAAATTTTTCGATGTTTTGAATTTTAATTTTTTTGATTTTTGATATTTGGATTTCTCCATTTTTCGATTTTACGATATTTTAATTTTTCAATGTTTTAAATTTTTGGTTTTTCAGTTCTTCAATATTTTTTAATTTTTCAAATTTTGACGTTTCTGAATTTTCAGTTTTCCGATTTCTCAATTAATTTATTTTTTGATTTCACCATTTCTCGACTTTCCAAAGTTTCGATCTTTCAGTTCTTCAGGTTTTTTTTCGATTTTGCTTTTTTGACTTCGGTTTCTCAATTTTAAATTTTTTTAATTTCCTAATTTTTGGATATTTCTTTCAGTTTTGGGATTTTTAGATTTTTCGATTTCTCCAGTTTTCAGTTTTTCTATATTTCAATTTTTAAATTTTCGATTTTTATTTTTATCGAGATTCAGATGTTTCGATGTTTTGATTGTTCGTCGATTTATCAATTTTTTTAAATTGGCAATTTTTGGACTGTGCTTTTTTGACTTTTCGGTTTCTCATTTTTTCATTTTTTTAATTTCCTAATTTTGGATACTTCGTTCAATTTTGTGATTTTTCAATTTTTCGATTCTTCAATTTTTCAATATTTCGTTATTTGAGTTTTGGGATTTTTTAGTACATATTTCAACTTTTCAATTTTTCGTTTTTTAAACTTTGGATTTTTCAATTTTGATTTCTCGAGTTTTCAGTTCTTCTATATTTCAATGTTTCGATTTCACGATTTGTTGATTTTTCAGTTTTTCGATTTTTAAAGTTTAGATTTTCGAATTTTGATTTTTTTGATTTTTGGATTTCTCTATTTTTCGATTTTACAATATTTTAATTTTTCAAACTTTGGCGTTTCTGAATTTTTTGTTTTCCGATTTCTCAATTAATTTATTTTTTAATTTTCCCATTTCTCGACTTCCCAAAGTTTCGATATTTCAGTTCTCAGTTTCTTTTTCGATTTTTCAGGTTTTTGATTTTTCAATTTTTCGATTTTTTAAGTTTTCGATGTTTCGACCTTGCTTTTTTGACTTTTCGGTTTTTCCTCAATTTTTCGTTTTTTTAATTTCCTAATTTTTTGATATTTCGTTCAATTTTGTGGTTTTTCAGTTTTTCGATTCTTCAATTTTTCAATATTTCGTTATTTGAGTTTCGGGATTTTTTAGTATTTCGATTTTTCGAGTTCTGGATTTTTCAATTTCTCGCTTTTTATTTTTTGGATTTTCAATGTTTCGTTTTTTAAACTTTAGATTTTTCAATTTATCGACTTACTTAAATTTCGATTTCTCAATTGTCAACTTTTCAATTTTCAAAATTTTAGGTTTTTCGATTTCTCGAGTTTTCAGTTCTTCAATATTTCGATTTTCGAAATTTTTAAATTTTCGATTCTCCAATTTTTTTAAATTTTTCAATGTTTTAAGTTTTCGATTTTTCAGTTCTTCAATATTTTTTAATTTTTCAAATTTTGAAATTTCTGAATATTCAGTTTTCCGATTTCTCAATTAATTTATTTTTTGATTTTGCTATTTCTCGACTTCCCAAAGTTTAGATCTTTCAGTTCTTCAGTTCTTTTTCGAGTTTTCAGGTTTTTGATTTTTCAATTTTTCGATTTTTTAAGTTTTCGATGTTTCGACCTTGCTTTTTTGACTTTTCGGTTTTTCCTCAATTTTTCGTTTTTTTAATTTCCTAATTTTTTGATATTTCGTTCAATTTTGTGGTTTTTCAGTTTTTCGATTCTTCAATTTTTCAATATTTCGTTATTTGAGTTTTGGGATTTTTTAGTATTTCGATTTTTCGAGTTCTGGATTTTTCAATTTCTCGCTTTTTATTTTTTGGATTTTCAATGTTTCGTTTTTTAAACTTTAGATTTTTCAATTTATCGACTTACTTAAATTTCGATTTCTCAATTGTCAACTTTTCAATTTTCAAAATTTTAGGTTTTTCGATTTCTCGAGTTTTCAGTTCTTCAATATTTCGATTTTCGAAATTTTTAAATTTTCGATTCTCCAATTTTTTTAAATTTTTCAATGTTTTAAGTTTTCGATTTTTCAGTTCTTCAATATTTTTTAATTTTTCAAATTTTGAAATTTCTGAATATTCAGTTTTCCGATTTCTCAATTAATTTATTTTTTGATTTTGCTATTTCTCGACTTCCCAAAGTTTAGATCTTTCAGTTCTTCAGTTCTTTTTCGAGTTTTCAGGTTTTTGATTTTTCAATTTTTCGATTTTTTAAGTTTTCGATTTTTCGACTTTGCTTTTTTGACTTTTCGGTTTTTCCTCAATTTTTCATTTTTTTAATTTCCTAATTTTTGGATATTTCGTTCAATTTTATGATTCTTCAGTTTTTCGATTCTTCAATTTTTCAATATTTCGTTATTTGAGTTTTGGGATTTTTTAGTATTTCGATTTTTCGTTTTTTAAACTTTAGATTTTTTAATTTTTCGACTTACTTATACTTCGATTTCTCAATTTTTCAACTTTTCGATATTTTAACTTTTCAATTTTTAAAATTTTCAGTTCTTCGATTTCCCGAGTTTTTAAATGTTCGATTTTCGATTTTTTTTTTAATTTTTCAAAGTTTCGATTTTTCGATTTCTTGATTTTTCAGTTTTTCAATTTTTAAATTTTAGATTTTCGAATTTTAATTTTTTTGATTTTTTGATGATTGGATTTCTCGATTTTACGATATTTTAATTTTTCAATGTGTTAAATTTTCGATTTTTCAGTTCTTCAATATTTTTAAATTTTCCAATTTTTTTTAATTATTCGATGTTTCGATTTTTCGATTTCTTGAATTTTCAGTTTTCCGCTTTCTCAATTAATTTATTTTTTTATTTTCTTACAGTTCTTCAGATCTTTTTCGATTTTTCAGGTTTTTCGATTTTTTAAGTTTGCGATTTTTGGACTTTGCTTTTTGACTTTTCGGTTCCTTAATTTTTAATCTTTTTAATTTCCTAATTTTTTGGATATTTCGTTCAATTTTGTGATTTTTCAGTTTTTTGATCCTTCAATTTTTCTTCCATTTTTCAATTTTTGGATATTAAAGTTTTGGAATTTTTTAGTATTTCACATTTGCGATTTTTCGATTTCTGGACTTTTTATTTTTTGTATTTTCAATTTTTTGGTTTTTTAAACTTTGGATTTTTCAATTTTGCGACTTTTCGATATTTTAACTTTTCATGTTTTAAAATGTTAGGTTTTTAATTGATCGATTTTTCAATTTTTCGATGTTTCGATTTTTCAATTAACCGATAGTTCAGTTTCTCGATTTTTAAATTTTTGAATTTTTATTTTTTTGAGTTTTTGATGTTTGGATTTCCCCATTTTTCAATTTTACGATACTTTAGTTTTTCAAATTTTGACGTTTCTGAATTTATCGACTTCCCAAAGTTTCGATCTTTCAGTTTTGCAGTTCTTTTTCGATTTTTTAAGTTTAGGATTTTTCGACGTTGCATTTTTGACTTTTCGGTTTCTCAATTTTTAATTTTTTTAATGTCCTAATTTTTGGATATTTCGTTCAATTTTGTGATTTTTCAGTTTTTCGATTCTTCAATTTTCCTTTGAGTTTTGGGATTTTTTAGTATTTCGAATTTTCGATTTTTCGAGTTCTGGATTTTTCGATTTCTCGATTTTTTTACTTTTTGGATTTTCAATTTTTTGTTTTTTAAACTTTACATTTTTCACTTCTTCTACTGTTTTATACTTAGATTTCTCAATTTTTCAACTTTTCGATATTTTAACTTTCCAATTTTTAAAATTTTTGGTTTTTCGATTTCTCGAGTTTTCACTTTTATATTTCTAATTTATATTTAGGTTTTCCAATTTTAATTTTTTTCGATTTTACGATATTTTAATTTTTCAATGTTTTAAATTTTCGATTGATCAGATCTTCAATATTTTTTAATTTTTCAAATTTTGACGTTTCTGAATTTTCAGTTTTCCAATTTCTCGATTAATTTATTTTTTGATTTTCCCATTTCTCGACTTCCCGAACTTTCGATCTTTCAGTTCTTCAGTTCATTTTTGATTTTTCATTTTTTTAATTTCCCAATTTTTTTATATTTCGTTCAATTGTGTGATTTTTCAGTTTTTCGATTCTTCAATTTTTCGTTATTTGAGTTTTGGGATCTTTTAGTATAGTATAGTCGACTTCTCGATTTTTCGATTTCTCGACTTTTTACTTTTTGTTCAATTTTTCGTTTTTTAAACTGTAGATTTTTCAATTTTTCGACTGTTTTATACTTCGATTTTTGAATTTTTCAACATTTTGATATTTAAACTTTTCAATTTTTAAAATTTTAGATTTCGCTTTTTCAATTATCCGATTGTTCAGTTTCTCGATTTTTAAATTTTAGATTTTACAATTTTCCTATACATATTTGAATTTTTCAGTGTTTTAAATTTAAAATTTTTCGATTTCTCGATATTTTTTAGCTTTCGATTTCTCAATTTTTTCAACATTATAAGTTTTGGGAACTTTTCAATTCCTGCTTTTTTAATTTTTCGATTTTTAAAAATTTTTGGTTCTTCGATAATTCAATTTTTCAATTTTTAGATTTTATGTCGCATTATTGCTAAAAGTTTTTTCAATATCAATATCATACAATAAAAATAAATAACTACAAAAATTGCGACAAAAAAATATGTAAAAATTAATACAAAATAGAACACAATGTTTCTAAAACATAAAAATAGGTGCACTTTCTCGAAAAAAAATATTGCATGATTACGGTTCCATTAGTATTGCTAATTTAGGACGTTTTGTTAGTGTCAAACACAATTAAAGAATTAATTCTTAGTTAAACAAAAAACAGTTGCATGTCAAAATCGAGTGAAACATGTGAGATGTGAAAAGTATATAAATAATAACTATTTTCCGGTCTGTGGATCAAACAAGTTCTCAGGCGACGACTGCAGCGATTATTGAAATAACGTTGGACTAATTCCTTCATAATTTTGTTGTTGTTACAGGGCTACCTTCAGTCAACAATGTGGAAGACCGAATAAAGCAGAATTTAACAGACGGTGAGCTTTACGACGTCAATGTCAAGAAGTTGGACGGCGTTACATATGAAATCGAAATACCGGCTTTATACCAAGCCTTGAAAAAGTAGACTTTTACTGCGAATTGTAATTTTAACCTTTTTATTTATTCGTTTTTACCATTTTGAAATTATATTTACGTTACGGACGCTAAAATAAATATTAATTTGGAATTTTATACGTTGCAAATAAAGTTTTAACATGATCATTATCTCGTTTTTGGTTAGTGTGAATGTGTTTGACGTGTGGTGCTGTGTAAATCCACCTCGACTCGCGAACCTGACGGAAGATTCCTGTAATCCGACTTTTGCTCTAACGTCCACCAGATGTCGCCACGTCCGTCAGTGAAGCTGAGTGACAAAATGGCAAAGGAATGTTGGTGCAAGAACCCGACTTTATGATGTGTTTTCGTGAAATTCCTAACACAATCGTGCCGTTTTTCCCAAAAATATGTTAACAAGAAAGAATTTAACTTAAAGTGCTTGGTGCGACTCGATGCGTGAGTGCGTTCAAGTCCCGTTTGCCATGTTTCTTTTCCAATTATGAACCATATACTTTTAACAATAGGTAAGCCATGTCTTATCAATCACCTTTGTATATTTTTTATGAATCGTAATTTGATTTATTGATCAATTGGCGTGAATTATTCAGCGTTACAGCACTGCCGCCCACCGGGGGCGGCCCCCGCCGCCGGAAAATCGCCTCGTCTTCCACTACCACATCCACAAAAATCCTTTATTGCTCCACCACGATTTGCATTTGCTGGGGCCAAAAAGGCGTGCGGCCCGAATTAACGCTTAATTTGCTTTGCCGATAATCAATTTAGATTTTTAATCTGGGGCCATTGTGATCGAATTTTTCGGATCGGGTTTCCGTCTTGGCCCATTTTCGCATCTTTTGCTTTATGGAAGTTTTATTGGCCATCATCTGCACGTTGTGTGTTAATTGCGGCTGCTGACACTTCTTCATTAACGTCGAGGTATTTATGATTTTAGTGCCTCGAGCAGTTGGGAATAATTAAAACGGGAATAAATAGAAAAATTCGGTCGGTGTGAATAGTGGACAATCAGCTGTGAAGTGTTTTTTTGGAAAAAATCGGAAATGAATGCAGCGCTTATAATTCCATTTTTCTTGCACGAAATGTAATGGAATTCTTTGCGGTGAATGTCGGTATTTCCTCTTTTGTCACAGGTTTTTTTTTTTTAATTGAACGTCCATTTGTTCGTAGGAGAAATAATCTACTAATAATGTTATATCTAGTGACCTTTCAAATTTGAGGTGACATAAGCCTACTTGTTGTTGTTTTAGAGATGACTCGGTGACGTTTGTTACAAATTACATGTGTAACATTGACCTTTAACTATCTGTTATGTAAAGTGATAACTGTAAACTGCTTGTCAAGCTGATAAGACGTTCCGAGTGATAAAGTTTTCACACTTCATGTTTCCTTATTCATGTGCTAATTACAATACCAATATTTGATAACGTCTTCATGGACTAACAGTTGCATAAATAGTCAGAATAGACACATTTTTGAGTAAGTTTAGAAATTACAAAGACAAAAGAAAAGTTGTCATAAATTTAAAGTTCACATGTAACAATTGTCTAGGCGAAGAAGTTCAAGAAACGCAGTTATTGAATAATCAATAGCTGATAGAACATCTTATGCATTTATATTTAAATATTCTAACCGAATGCTTGTGTTTATAGTGTTCGAGAGGGATTCACTAAACGTGACATTATTACAACAAGCCTGAAGAACAGCCAAATCTGGCCCGAAACGTTGCGTTATATTAAAAATAAAAAACGCCAACCAACTGAGACTTTTTTATTGAAATTTATTCAAGACCCGAGAACTCCAAGCTTGTTCGTCCCTCATACAAAGCTAGTGGCTAGATCTGGGCACTATTGAAATTTGTATATTTAGTATTTTATATTTTCATTAGTGGATGTGTCAAGTAAACTTAAACCACTGCCAAAAATATGTCAAGTGTATAACCTCTACATGTATTACACGTATCCAAAGCGGTGTTCCGTTCCAAGCAGCAAAACTGCTACACATGTAAATCCCATCAAATAACTCAATTTAAATTTTTTGCCCACAAATACTGCGCTTATCGCGGCCGCGTAAGCGCATTGTTGCCCATAAATATCACAATTTAAGCCTCTGCTCGTACTTAATTAACAACTATTAAATGGCCAGTTAATTTTGTAATTTAATCGCAAACAGAATGAGGAAGTCGTTCCCATAACAGACCTATAAGTTAACAAACATCGGTAATGATCGACCATTTCGCAATCACCTCCTTGTTCATTTCCTCAATTTTTCTGTGGGAACCTCAGCAACAAGCACACAAAACAGACATTTGTCGACGTAGAAAATTATTTTCTCATTTGCCTATTCTGGACGTAATAATGCTTTTAATATAAAATTGTACATATTTGTTCAGAGTAAATACACGATTTATAAATCGGTACGTTTTCGTGTGTTTTTGAAATATGAATTATAGAAAGTTGGATCGTTTGTAGTTCTTGCGGGCTTCGCAGCGATTGAGTATGATTTCACGGTTTAATTTTGATTTGAGGTGCAGCAAAAACCCTGACCTGTCGTGTGGGAGCATGAATAATAATTCTGGAAAATATATCTCGTTTCCGGTGTTTTTACTGGTTAATTTGCGTACGAAATTTGTTCTTTTAAACTTTACTTTGGACAAAATTTATGCAAATCCAAATTAATCCTGTGAATAGTGCAACAATGACACAATGAAACTTTCTAATAAGGAAGTCGATATATGTATTAATTAAGATCAGAGATAAATATTTGTTCAGGAACTCCTTCTACGAGCAAGAATTTTGTGTTTATTGAGGTATTTCTGCTTTCGACTTGTCGTAACTGCTACAGCATGAAAAAGTCGGTCCCCCATTTCCGTCCGTCTGTTGCATGTTGGAAAACAAAATTTGTAAAAGCAGATTTTATTACAGTTTGTGTCGGAACGTTTCAAATTAATTTGTTCATCCCTCCTGAAAGGTCAGTGACGTCATAGAAAACATTGATTAGATTTGTTTATAAAATATCTGCTTGGTAAATTTTTGCCATGTGAAGTTCAAGGTAGCAATACAAGTGGAGTGTTGGTCACTTGCGCGCCACGGTTAGTTTACCCTATGTGGTAGCTCTAATACCCAAAAAGAACTTATAAGGGTTATCACTGCCTACAGGTCCTTAAAAAATAAAATTTCTGAACAAACTGTTTTATTTTTTACGTGATACCTATTGGTAGAAAATTTAAGAGGAATAAAAATATTTGTCAATATGCGAATAACCGAGATTACATACGTTAGTTCACGCTGAGTTTTAATCCAAGTTAAATTGAGGTAAAATCTGTGTAATTATATGCAAATCTTTCTGACCGCTGCGTGCAACTGACCCCTGCTTGTGTTAATAGAACCTGAATGACACTATGCCAGTAGCAGGTAGAATTTAAAACTCGTTTTTTTATCATTTTTCTCTTCAGTTCTCTCAATTTGTGTATATTTTTACCCAAGGGTAGTTGACATTGGTTGACCCTGATGTGTTGCCGTCCAACCCCTTATAATCACGTGATAAAATTTTAACTTCTGTATTGTAATAGGGTCCATCCGACGACTCCCAACTTTTATGTTTTCTCGACGTTTCATGGCTCCTAGAGTACGAAAAAATAGGTTCCCCTGTCGTCTGTGTTAATTTTTATTGGATACATCCATAATCCCCATCATCAATTTGATCACACTCCGGTATAGGCCATCCACGGAAACAGTGGTTTTACGACTTTGACTCCTTCGCCATTCTTATCAACGAATAATGCAGGTTACTAGACGTAAATTCATGGCACCACTCCAAATTTACTTTGCGGTTCTTTATTGTGGATGTTTCTTCGCAAACGCCAAGCTTGGCAAATCCAAAATGATAAAACCACTATTTTCGTGGATTGTCTATACTTTTGGTTTATGAATCCGCCTCGAGTTTTTACCTCAGGCAATCAGATTTTCGCTTTAAAGTTGTTTCTATAACAATCTTTCTAATAATAAAAGATATCTATCTATCTATATTTTTACTTCTCGACCGTAAGCGAAGTATTGTAATCGAGTCCGTCGCCGACTCTGTACTTTTACGTTTTCCCGACGTTTCTTGACCCCTAAAGTCTCTCTTTTCCATCTGTCTGTCTGTCTGTCTCTCTGTAGATTATGACTCCGTGTTGAGTTTTTACCCGAAACGTCCAGATTTTTGGAAAAAAAAAATTAAAATTATAAAACTACATGCAATTTAATTTTGAATCTGCAAAACCGAATGCTTTGAAATCTTGCAGATGTTTTAAGGTTATGTCTGGATCCTTTAAAATTTCAATTTTTTGATGTTTCGATTGCCCGATTTTTCAAGGATTTTTCGTTATTTTAGTTTTGGAATTTTTTAATTTCTCGATTTTTCAATTTTTTTTGGTTCTTTGATTTTTCAATTTTTGGATTTTTAAATTTTGCATGTGCAAGTTCTATTTTTTGATGGACCAGTTCTCGATTTTTCAATTTTTAGTTTCTTCGATTTTTCCATATTTTAATTTTTGAACGCTTTTAATTTTATATTTTTTGGTTTTTCTTGATGTTTCGATTTTTCAATCTTTCGATTTGTTGTTTAATTTCTTAATTTTTCGTTTTTTGATTTCGATTTCTCAATTTTTCAGTTTTTCGATATTTCTGTTTTTCAGCTTTTTGCATTTTATGAATTTTTAATTGGATTTATTGACATCTCAGTTTTTCGATTTATAAAATTTTTCGCTTTTTAGATTTTTAGATTTCTCGAATTATCAAATTTTCGGTTTCTCAGTTTTTCAACATTTCAATTTAGGGAATTTTTTGATTTCTGGATTTTTTAATTTTTCGATCTTTCGATTATTAAGTTTCGCAATTTTTTAATTTCTCGATTGTTAGTTTTTTCTTTGGCTTTTCGATTTTTCAGTTTTCCGATTTCTAAATTTTATATTTTTGTTCTAGTTTTCGATGTTTCGGTTTCGTGATATTTCAATTTTTCGATATTTTTGACTTTTTGATTTCTCGATTTTTCAGTTCTTCAATTTTTCAATCTTTCGATTTGTCGATTTATCGAGATTTCGATGTTTTAATTTTTCGATTGTTCAATTTCTTAATTTTTCGTTTTTTGATTTCGATTTCTCAATTTTTCAGTTTTTCGATATTTCTGTTTTTCAGTTTTTTGCATTTTATGAATTTCTAATTGGATTTATTGACATCTCAGTTTTTCGATTTATAAAATTTTTCGCTTTTTAGATTTTTAGATTTCTCGAATTATCAAATTTTCGGTTTCTCAGTTTTTCAACATTTCAATTTAGGGAATTTTTTGATTTCTGGATTTTTTAATTTTTCGATCTTTCGATTATTAAGTTTCGCAATTTTTTAATTTCTCGATTGTTAGTTTTTTCTTTGGCTTTTCGATTTTTCAGTTTTCCGATTTCTAAATTTTATATTTTTGTTCTAGTTTTCGATGTTTCGGTTTCGTGATATTTAAATTTTTCGATATTTTT